ATAACAGAAACGTGAAGAAAAATCTTATCCGTATTCCATGCTCCAGAATTCAGAAAATTTTCTCTGTAGATACGATCGACTTAGAATTAGAACACCTTTGTACAACTCTCTTAAGTAATGGATATCCTAGACGGTTCATCGACAGAAACATGAAGTAAGAAACAGTCTTTAACCAAATCACAGTGTCGAAGAAGACACTGTTTATGAGTTTGGCGTTGAAAGGTGACAGTATTTCTGAAGTAATTAAAAGTCGTTTATTTGAATGTGTTTAGCGGTGTTTTCTATGCATCTGACTTACACTTAGTATTTACCAGCCGAAACATTACTCGACAATGCATCACGGATAAGTCACCGCTATGTGCGTCCACCTGTATGTGCATACACCCATTCACATGCTCGTGTGGGGCTGATTACATTGAACGTCGTAAGCGTAAACTCCGTAAACGCATAGCTGAACACTACTCGGTTTGCTTAATGAAAAGTGAGGAAAATGCAACAAAGTCTTCAATCTGTGAACACCTTCTAGAATCAGGTCATGCAGCCCCACGTGATTTATCCTTTCAAGTCATCTACAGGACCAAATCCAGTCACTCCACGTTTTCTCCACTTACGCATAGCCGAAGTCCTAGCTATACATGGACAAAAACCTGAATTATGTATTCAGAAACGTTTTGTGAAACCCCCCTTCTTTACCTCGGTCTTAATAATGTTCTTTTAAGTGTTGGTTTGTAGGGATTTGATTGGTTACAGGATTTTCATCATGAGCTGACATTAGTTAGAGAACCATTGGAAAACCTGGGAGTACTGGACATCTGCTTCGTCCTAGTTTGAGACTCTTCATCAGTACGCACCCACCGGGATTCGAACCCAGGACCTTTTAGTTACAAGGCGAGCTCGTATACCACTTGAATTCATTCCACTTCACCTTCGCCGTCTTTAATGTTATCATCATCTTATTCTTAATTTTTCAAACAATTCCTGACGTGCAATTTGAAATCTCTATACCAGTTGACTTGTTAGAGAATCTTTAAAAGTTTTGTGATTCATCCACTTCAACTCTACCCCTAATGTACATCATTTTAATTATTTTGTTCTTATCATATGTATATTGACCGGGCAGTTTCTAGTGCCACCTAATACCCTTTTTCCGTAATATAAATACGACTGTACAGATTTAAAATGAAGTCGTTGAAAAGAGATATTTCGTCGCTGAACAAAAAAAAAACTGCGTTTTTCCGCATGAATTAATGGGCATATCTGGCGACTTTTAATGAAGCACCTGAGCTAAATTTCAAACAAGAAAAGTGGAAGTCTAACCCAGGTTAAATTACTTCTAATTGAGCAAATCAACCCGGTGGTTTTCAATTCATAATCGTTGTCTTCTCTTCTTCATCCAACAACAAATAGAAATATAGCTGTATAAAATGTTTGATGAAACTTGACTAGCCGACGAAAGCTTTATCATGATCTCTTATTTATTTTTCAAAGAGTAAATTTTCCCTGGCAACTTGAAAGACGTAAGAAATTCTTTGATGCAATTTAATTTGTGATTTTTATATTCTGTACGCAGACGTGTATAGGTTTAAGTGTATACGTAACTGATATATGTCGCTAAACATGTTGGTAAAACGAGATCGATGATTTATCTTACGTGTTTAATATGGTGACATTTAAAATGGAATACTGTTAATATCGGAATACTTAAAAATATGGTTGCTAGTTTTCACACCTTTAAAGTCACATCTACAACATTTGTGGTGTGTAGTAAGAACCTTTAAATATCTCACAAAATTACTCCGTATTCCTAATTCATGTTAAGTTTCTTGCAAGCTGCACAGTGTCTTATCTAGTTTATTAAACATCTATTTATTTCAAACATCATGAAATAGTGCTATGAGTCCGTTTTCAAGGTACTCATGAAAAATAAATCACAAAATCGCCCTCGGGACTTTAAGAGAGATTTGTCTGAGAGGAGTAAAAGTCTGATGAACAAATGGTTCGTCACACTCAGTCTAGACCGTGGCACATTTCTTTGTCTCACTTACTAGAACCGTATTCACTGTATCAAGCTTCATATTTGATTCCTAATCTATTCGCTATTTTCTTCGCGGAGAGACTACAAGGAATCACCTGGAGTTTAAGTAGTATAAAGCTTTGAATAAGCCGTATAACTGTATGGACTTATAATTCTTTTCATTGGGTGTGCGAAGCAATTAACAGTCAACAAACTAACTCATTCATTTGAAGAAGTAACTCCACTTTTCTCTATCACCAATTTTTCTATTTCAGTATTTTATATTTTCTTAGGCTATTCGAGAATATCAGAATAAATATATTCCAATTACAATTCGCTCATAAATGTTTTTGTTTCGGTGGCCATAACAACATGTCTTAAACTGACAGCTGTTACTAAGACCTCCAACAGAGAATTACAAGTGAACTACAGTTTAGATACCTTCACTCTGAAATGAAAAGTAACGTAGCTACATGTTTTATAACGTCGTATTATATTTACATAAATTTATTTATTTTTCCAATTCATGTGTATGGGAAAGCCTACGACAGATTACCAAAATTAATTCACTATAGAAAAGCAGTAACACAAAAAGAAAAGTATGAAATCATAGTGGAACCTGCAAGCAAAGAAAAGAGACAATCGACGAAGAAATCAAACGGAAAAGAAATTAAAATTCCTTTTTTATTTCATGAGCACTGAAACCTCAGGTAGCACATTTAACGAAAATAAATTGAACTGATATTTTAGGCAGAAATTTTACAGAAACGGAGGTGAACTTAGCGATAAAGAAATCAAAGTCAATATTTGTACTAATAAGCCAAAGCTGGAAGTTGTTACCCCAAGAACTGAAATGTCTCTAGAAGGACTCTGTGCAATAATACAAGTGGAATTTGCATTAACATTGGGAAGGATAAGGAATAGAAAAGTTGAATGAGACAAAGAACTGGTTAGCACTCGAAGAAATAAGCGCGTATAAATTTATAATCATTGATCGGGGAATATTACAAAATGAATAATACTCATAAAATGAATGAACACTGGCGATCGAGATCTTATTCCTGAATAACTAAATCATCTATGAGGACTAAAAATGGAAGTATGAAAGAAGTGGTGTAGATTGGTAAATTAGTAGAGTAAACAACTGCTAAGCCGAATCAGTGTGAAATTATACTTAAATCATGTAATATATGTAGAATAAAGGGTGTGATAAAATTAAATAAAGAAGGCTATTCAATAAGACCTCTTTTAGATTTCAGAAACACGCCAACTTATGTCTTATTCAGGATAGTAAGTAATATAATACAAACAATGCGAGACACTGCCAGCAAGCCTGGTAGATTTACTTGAACCAGTAAAATATCTTAAAACAGCTTAGAAGAGATACTACTTGATTTCGAATTATACAGCTTATGTACAATAATATCTATTAAAGTGGCTGTAGGTGTACTGAAAATAAAACTAAATAAAAATGATAGTCCAAAAAATAGAACAGAGATATCTGTGGGCGAAAAACAGAAAGAAAGAGGACTCTGTCTGACAACAACTTATGTTAAGTAAAAGTATGCCAACAGAATGAAAAAACCGTTAGTCGGATCACTTATATCACCAATGACAGGTGACATTTTCACGAAGTTTTGCGAAGAAAATGTACTAAAACGGGCTACTGTATAAATATAATATTGCTGCAGATATATGATCCTTATAAATAAAAGCAATATGGAAAAAGTCCCTGTGCATATAAACTGTCGTGTAGACATAATAAAAGGCCTTACAGAAACACAAAATGAATTTGCGGAACTAAATTGTTAAATTGCAGTATTACTACACAGAAAATAGTATATTTCAAGAAATTCAAGGATTCGTGATTTTAGCGCGACCACCATCCAATTTCATCGCTGAGTATATGTACATCATATATATATATATATGTTTATATATAAATATATTCATAATTCCAGAAAGTATTCATCATTTTTAAGGTGCTGGTTATGTAGTCTCTCTGAAAAGCGGAAAATCAGATTTGCTTCATAGTTTAAAAAAAATCCTAATTGTTTATTCAGTACACATCTGTACGATTTTTGGGTTTTTAATAAACCCTGGGGTTCTAGTGAGAAGTCGTGACCAGTAGGGTGCAGCAGGTCAGGTGTGAGGACAAATACTCGCCGAAGACATTGGCTAGGGGTCGCGCTATGTCGTGAATTGGCAAAAGTTAGACTTCATGAGCCATTGGATCGGGTGCCAGTGGCTTAATGGTATACGAGCTCGCCTTGTAACCAAAAGGTCCTGGGTTCGAATCCCGGTGGGTGCATGCTGTGAAGAGTCCCAAACTAGGACGAAACAGCTGTCCAGTACTCCCAGGTTTTCCAATGGTTCTCTAACTAATGTCAGCTCATGATGAAAATCCTATAAACTTTTATGTTAATAAAATTTGTAAGTAACGTTATTGGGAGGATGAGGCCTCTGCCACCTCTACAAGTCAGTTACGCTAGAAACTACAAGCTAGTGGAAGATAGCTACGTTTCATTTTAAGGTACAAGGCAGATAAAATCATCGTATGATTTTTAAAAAATGGAGGGAAATAACTATTGATTTTCAGCCAGTTGGTTATTTTAATTTTTGACCTAAGTCTTTCAGTTAATGAAACAGATTCGATTATAGGTCTCAGACCAAAAACATGACAGACTGGTCTGATTCACTACGCAAAAATCGATTAATTGAAAAGAACGTATCTTAAGCTGTTTTTATGGTGAATATAACTTAGCAGTCAGGCAGAAAAATATTAGTCATTCTACGTAATAAACTCCTATGTAATTAGTGGAAAAAAATCGATGATTTAATAGGAAAATTCAGACTGAGTGATGTTCACATTTGACTAGTGATTTGAAAAAAAGGTAGTTAATTTCATCATTTACACAAAAAGTTTTTGACAGAACACATCTAAATGCTCTCCATGTGGAAATGTGGTTTAATTATTTTGATTTATATGAATGCTATTATAACCGATGGTCGATTAAATAGCTATCATGAACCAGACGTAGTTGAAATGAATCTGAAATCTGGAGCTGAAAAATATGATAATCCTGATAGCGAATCCTACATAGGTAGCAAATTAGTGCGTCGAGTGAGAAGGAGAGGACCCAAACGTACACAAGTTTTTTTCGCACCTGCTGACATTCCGCATGGTCTAAGAGAAAATGACATAATGGAAAATGACGACATCTATAATATGCCTGCACCGACGTACAAAACTTACGCTGGATTATCACAAAGCCTCTATAAACCTCATCGCTTATCAGAAAATGAAGAACTTGCAAGCATTTTGATAAAACTCATCAAACTTTTCAATAAAAGAATTGTTAAGAAAGTCCCTCCAGTTGACCGTATTATTATTGCGCAGCCAGCACTTCAAACAACTGCATTCCCAACACCTGGGAGCGTTAATAATTTCTGCAAAAACCAACCAGCAATAGCTTCTGTTCAGTCTACATCAAGTGACTTTCCACCCCTCACAGCTATATCTTTGGCTTCTCCTAGCATCTCGGAACCACCTCAAACATTACAGTCACTTGATTCTGTCGATTCTCCGACATCGACAATTGGAGATAAGGGTGCTGGTATTCTTCCTCCTGCTGCGGATACTTCTTCAATAGTTCCCCAACAACTTTTAACCCAAGTTCCGTTTTCTGGAACATCACATCAGCTCCAGAATAAGCTTACTGCAAATTCTATGGTTCAACCAGACATGGAGTCTCGTCCTGCCTTACAAGAAATTCCACCTGTGGTTCCACAACAGCCATTTCCTCACAGTCAGTTTGCTGGTTTATCACATCAATCATCGAGTAAACCAAGTGCAAGTCCCCTTCTGCAGTCAGACACTGACACTTCTGTCCCTAATCAACAACCGAGAATAGCCTCACCATTATTAACCGATATTAAGCCATTAGTCGCTCCTGGACAGATTAACATAGGAGTACAAGGAACTCCTGTTTATGCAGGTTTCGGACCAAGTGACACCTATGTTGAAGCACTGCCACCAACTCCTATTAGACAACCGAATATGCTGGCTGGTGCTAGCATTACTGAACTTCCATCACCAAATGAAGTTCTGTTACCTGCGCCTCAACCAAGTTCTTCAACATTTTTACCAGGTGATCAATCAAGTGCTTCGGGTGACATGATGAACTTTCCAGCTACTTCCGAAATCCAGCCACTTCAGCAGAGACAGCAAGTCCTACCGCAACAACTAGAGATGCAGCAGCAAAAACAACTGCTTTTACCTCAACAACAAGTAGTTCCATTTCCACCGAAAGTACCGACACAACAATCAGCACAGACTCCTCCATTGACACAAACTCCTCAGTCAAGTGGTCATGGGAGGTCAGGTGTGCCGCTTTCAGATTTTACGCAAAGTAGTCAACCGTCTGATATGAATGCTTTATTAGTTAACCCACAGTCACAATTGCTAGAACAAGTACAGAGTCAGCAACAAGTGGTTTTAAGGCAACCACCACAGCAAACTGTCCAGAAAATGCCATCCTCTGAAACAGGTGTGTTCTCAACAGTACCTGCAACAGTTTTCACTATTTCTAAGGTACCAAATTATGACTGGAATTATAATAATGTACCTTCATACAACCCACAGAGATGGGATTCAAAGAATTATGCAGCTAAACAGAAACTTCTTGAGCAGCTACGTACTGCTTTGTTTTGATAAAACTTGTTAGTTTCTGTGTTCAGTGTTGAACTTAACGATTTCATATAATGTTAATAAAATAAAGTTGTTACGGCTCATTTCTTTTTAATGATGATTCCAGAGCGTGTAGTTTTATTTATGGATGCGTGTCAACGTAAAATTTATAATAGTTCTGAATAATTGTGAATAATTTGCTCACAATGATTAATAAACCTAGAGCAGTGAAAACTGTATTTCGTTACTTAAGGGTAATAATTTGAGGTGAAGTAGTCCTTGATTTAAATGCTCGATTCCTGTTCGAATATAAGCTGTACCGTGAAATTTAGTCTCAGTGATGCTTTCTTGTTGTGCGTAGACAAAGGTTTGTAGTCAGAATATTTTTCACTGAGAAGCACTTACAGCTCGCCCTAACTGTCTTTAGATTAGAAGTCACGACAAAAAGTAAGGAGTGATTTAAACAAATTATGAGATTAAGATCCGACCTACTGGCGTTCACTTTTTACTTTTCGTCTCTTAAAGATGCTTCCAGCATCTCTAAGTGGTCTTCATTCGCGATCGGAAACTCCAGTGTATAGTCATCGTGTGCTGGAGGGTTGGTTTGCAGTCGAGATTTGTTGTTAATTGTAACAAAGTTCAGGATTTTCGTACACAAACTGATAAGTTCCATCGAAGCACCTTTAAATAAGTAATTTTTTAGTACTTACCGGTTAATTTCTTAAAATTCACTGAATAATCGACAGCTCCGTTAGACGGTAATCTGAAGGAAGTTTACTAAATGTAACAATTATTCCTACTGGTTAGATACAGTTGTTGTATTTTCGCCAACAGCAGATGAGGAATATAAGTTAAGAGCATTCGAAGTACTGAAAATGAATGGCACTGAGTTAGGTTAATGCCTTGGAATCGGGGTTACAAAGTCATCGAACATATTGTAATCTGGATATTGAGGTCTGGTGCGACCAACTTGACAAGCAGCTACATCAATATCCATGGAGTTGTAAAAAAATCCTCATTTTTCTTTGCATCCCTGAAAAATATGTTAGACAGAAAACGGTACCTAACTTTTCGGTTCCCTACTAGACATTGGCAAGGTGTCATCGTTCGTGTCTACCTTCTTAGTGCCTTTACCATAGCTTCTCAACAGCTCTACACCCTTTAGACAGTTCTCACACGTGTCTAGAAGGATGATTATGAAATGTTCCAACTTACCAAGTTCCTGTAGTTGACAGAATTCAAGCGCTGACTAGCCAGCCCTGGTAAACACAGGCTCTAGGTGAACTGTAGTGCTGCTGTACGCATGTAAACTACTTCGCACAACGCAAGTGTTTGGGATAGCAACTATACTGTCACCTTTTGCCGAACGGACGACGAGAAATCTGACTGATGTAGAATTCTGCAAAAGGATATATAGTGAATTGGAAATACGGCTTTGTTACTTTATTATGTATCAGGTTGCTTAAAAAAATAACAGCATATATATACCTATATCTCAAAAACTTGGAATAAACTGTCAAATGAACTGCGGTTTGACCAACAACATTAGCCAGTTAGAGGTAGATTTTCAGAATTGAAAACAAGTAGATGTTACAAAAAACTTGAACGAATTGCACATCAATAGTTCAAGCAACAATAGGGTCGAAAGCGTATCTTATCTTCACTTCCCATTTCCACTATATTCCCCGGTTTACCTAAGGCCAAGAATAAGATGTAAATATGGCGTTCAGATACGTCAAATTTCCTTTGCTAAACTCAACGCCCTTGGTATCAGTTTCTTTAGGTATATGCTTGACGCTTGTACTTTTCATTAGGTACATGTGCTCAACATAACACTGAGCTGCCTGCTTAGCCACAGTATATCCACAGTGCACAGACTGTCTGATCTTGCGCATATAGAATTCGAAGGGAAATTCACTAAATCCTTCTAATGGCCTATGCAGTTCGACATCATCCGCTATATGTTTCAAAGAATGAATATTGTAAAGAATATGTTCACTTCCGAAACAATTCTCTTATCGCGGTAAGAAATTACTTAAATCTGTCCGAGCAGCATCCAAAAGCAGTCGGCTGTATTTGGTATTCGAAAGTAAGTATACTGCCAGGGATAATCTCCGGAAATGAGCGTATAGGGGGAATGGCAGTGTTCCTTAGTATGATGGGAGCCAAATATAGTAGGAAAAGCCTACACTCAGTTGCCTTCCATTGGCTAACGTCATCTAGCGACTGATATTTCCTCTGAAAATCGGAAGGAATGTAGTTCCTACTTACTTGCAGTCCGTTATTAATATATGCAACAACTTTACTATTCATCTGCTTCTCTCGCCATGCTGCAAGACTCTGCCAAAGCAGGACCAACTTCTTAATAATACCAAGGTTTATAAGATGCATTGGCTTCAAGGGAAACGACTTGATTATGTCAAGTGGCAATTCCTCAAGACAGGTTCTGCCCCGATTGTGACTTGCTTAAACCTTACCACGGAATACTTTATAATTTCTCAGGGTATGGTTCCCATTAGGAAATGTCATCCTACCCTCCAAACGGCAACTCATGACTTCACATTTATCACAACCTGTTTTTCCATTGTGACCAACAGTTTGTTCGACATTAGAAAGAACAGGTGTGTCACATAGAAATGCCCAGAACACTGACAGTCACACTCCTACCCCACTTTTCAACATATAGACCGTTTTTATAAAGATCTTTCAATTCAACTAATAGGTCCCTTGAAACCTGACTGAAGTCACTCGGTTTTCTGAAACCACCATATATGCGAATTAAGAAAACGTCACTGACGTATGGAGTTGTGATACGACCTAGGAATGGCCACAGTTGATGCGAAGAACTGTTCGATATTGACAAACCGTCATAGTTAATATGCACGCCAATATGTTGAAAAGTACTGTAGTTAACCCAACTATCTAGATAACGCTGAAGATTTTCCATCAGTCCAATATGATAGTAAACACCTTGTCCAAGAAATCTAGGTACACACATGCCGCTGTACTTTAGCAAACCTCTTATGGTTGTTGGCACATGTGGACTAAATTTACGGATACAGTCCAACATTCGTATTATTGATATGAGTATAAAACTTGGGCACTGTGGTAGAGTATAACTCCATAATGGTTAAGATTTTATTTTGATAAATCACACAGTGTTGTACAGTTATATTAACTGATGACGTTTCGAGCACAATCTATTGCTCATAATCATATCAAGTCTAAATTTGGTAGCTGATTTTCTTCATATCGCATACTTTTGCATTGTAGTGAAAACTTGGTGACGTCCTACAATATGGAGCATAACCATCAATGCACGACAGTGTATATGGAGAATGACCCTTGGAGTAGGCGACTGACAGCAGAAGAGAAAGAAAATATAGAACCGCCTCTGCAGCAATCGCACTCCTCTGATGAAATAAGGAGTTACGTGAAGGATAAAATTGACAAGAGAATCCCCCTTGATGACAATAAAATATGAAAGTCTCCGTTACAACGGTATAGTGGCGTCGGTGGCACAGTGGTTAGGACGCTCGCCGACCATGCACATGGTCCGGGGTTCGATCCCCTGCCGGCGCACACCCGATATCTATGGTCGGCCTGAATTTGGGCTACCGATATCCATGCTGAAAGTTCCATACTTGTACTGAAAATACGGTGTGGAATCAAGCTGTAAATCAAAATGAAATGAAAATGAAATAGTGGACTTCATCTGTAATAACTTCAGGAATATCAAGTCGTAATGATATCTTTCAGTTACTGAAATCCTATGGGAAGTTGATAGAGTTCTATTTAGACGAAGACGTCTGAAATTCACTTATGAGAGTTTTTGCGACTTGTGAGCAAATAGAGCTGTATAAGCAGAGGTTGTAAGAATCGATTCCATATACAACACGAATAAAGGGAAGTAAGTTCACTCATTCAACCTCGCCTAGATTACTAGGTCACTAGTATTCTAGCCGGTCCCAAGCCCGGATAAAGAGGGAGGGTTGGGGCGTGGTGCTAGCAACTCCACCCCCAAAACTTAACCAAATTGCTACTAAAACTTCAACGCACAAATATATTCAAAATTCTAAAAATACAAACAATAACCTTACTTTTCGCTGGAATCGGGGAAGTAAAATGACGCAGGCTGGTGAAAGCCTTCGGGAAGCCAGTCAGCCGATGTGCCTTCTTTCGATGAAAGCAAAAATAAGGATGGGGACGTACGAAATGAGGAGATATAAAATAGAAGTGTTGGGAATCTGCGAGAGCAGATGGAACGGATGCGGAAGATGTCAACTACCAACTGGAGAGACAATAATCTACTCCGGTCACCCAGAGGACAACCACGAGCACACCGAGGGAGTAGCCATCATGATGTCACCAACAGCGGCTAAAGCTCTCATGCAGTGGGAACCAATCTCCTCCAGGATAATGACAGCCAGGTTCAACTCAAAAGGAAGGAAGGTTACAATCATTCAATGCTATGCGCCTACAAACGTCTCAGAAAAAGAGAAGAAGGAGGATTTCTACAGTCAACTACAAACAGTAATGGACAACGTCCCAAATGGCGACATCAGAATCCTGATGGGTGATATGAATGCGAAACTGGGAGGAGACAATACAGGAAGAGAACTCACCATGGGTCGTGAGGCCCTCGGTGAAATGAACGAAAATGGTGAACTCTTCTCAGACTTCTGCGCCTTCAATGATTTGGTGATTGGTGGCAGTGTGTTCAAACACAGGGATATACACAAGGCAACATGGATTTCACCAGATGGACACACCAAAAACCAGATAGACTTCATTTCAATCTCAAGGAAGTGGAGACGGAGCTTACTGGACACAAGATCGAGGAGAGGAGCAGATGTGGGTTCAGACCACTATCTAGTACAAGGGACTTTCAAGGTGAAGCTAAAAGCCTCGAGGATACCTGGGGATAGGCCACAATGCAAGTTCAACACGCAAAAACTGAAGGACACAATCACACAGGACATTTTCACTGCAACGGTCAGAGCAAAGCAGGAAACACTACGTGG